CCCAGAATGCAAACTTTCATACCTTGTTCACTCTTGAATTTTCCATGATACCTATGGTTTTTGTACATAATAGGTATTCAAGAAATGTTGGTTGAATTGAACCAAGATCAATTTCTCTTGATTCACAATAACTAAACAACACTGATTGCTTTGTGATCTAGTCAGAAGAAATCCTAATAGATAATGAGGGGGGAAAAGGAAAAGGCAATTAAGGAATTTGCCTTAGCTTGAAAAATTCAATGTAAAGGTGTGCACAATTCAATTTCTTATTAAACATTACGAAACTGCTTTATCAGAAATTTTTACCTTTCTACTTCACTACAGAACAAAAGCAGAGAATAATAAAGCTTCATGTCCTGTGGAGGATTTGGGATGGCAACTCTTGAAGCAACAGCACAGAACTAACGCTAGGGCCTAGAGAAGCAGCCCCCAACCTTTTTAGCACCAGGGATTGGTTTCATGGAAAACAGTATCTCCACGGACGGGGTTGGGGTGGGGTGGGGTGGGGATGGATTCTGGATGATTCAAGTGCATTATATTTATTGTGCAGTCAAACCTCTCTGCTAATGATAATCTGTATTTGCAGCTGCTCCCCAGCCCTAGCATCACCACCTCAGCTCCACCCCAGATCATCAGGCATTAGATTCTCATAAGGAACACACAACAGATCCCTGCATGCGCAGTTTACAACAGGGTTCCTGCTCCTATGAGAATCTAATGGTGCCACTGATCTGACAGGAGGCAGAGCTTATGCGTTGATGCGAACATGGGGAGCGATTGTAAATACAAAGGAAGCTTTGCTGGCTTACCCACTGCCACCTGCTCACCTCCTGCTGTGTGGAGCTCACCTCCTGCTGTGCAGCCCAGTTCCTAACAGGCCACACACAGTACTGGTCTGTGGCCCAGGGGTTGGGGACTGCAAGCCTAGAGGAAGCAACAGCAAGGGAAATGTGGAGAGAGGTTGGGGCTCAGGCTACTAGAGATCTGGCGTGAAGCAGGCTGAATGAAGGCCAAGGGACTGGGAGAGGAACTGATGAGACCTATAGAAATCTGGAAAGCCCTCAAGTAAAGAATCCAAGATACATTAGATTCAGTTAATCTACATTCATTAAGCACCCCTTCAGTATATAGCATTGAGCTAGGTTCTGAGCAGGAAGTATGAGAATATTAAAACATGGATCCTAATTTCCCTGAACGTATTACCAATTGGATTAAAAAGGCAAAGTGGTGCATGGTAGGTGACAAGAGTGTGGTGGAGAAAATAGGTTTTATATAAATTGAAAAGTAGAGATCCTTTTGGGGGCTAAAGTAATTAGAATGCATGGATGGCAATTTTTTAAAAAGAAAAACATCATCCTTTCATTTTAATGGGAATAAAGAAGGCTGCCTCGACAATATATTTAGGTTCCTAAAATGAAATTGTATTTGGTTAGGTGATTGGCTTTGGGCTTGACTTTTCTGGTTGAGGTTTACTGGATTCTTATTAGGTAACTGTTAATAAAATGTTTCCA